GATTTAATTCAATTTTTAATTTATTAGTTTATTAGTTTATCTTATCTCTTATCACACAAATTATTTATGCATTTAAAAATATGAAAAAAAATTTTTAGAATTTAACAATTTCCTTACTTGAATTCTTGAAAAATTTGTGGATGGTTTTTGAATAATTTCGCAAATATAATTTTCCCAGAAATCACAAGAATTATTAATGTGATTTTTAATATTTACACAAGTATTATTTGTATCACAAAACTGAATACCATAATCACGTAATTTGCCGTTAAGCGGAAGAAGTGGACTTTGCCATCTCAGATGTATTATAGGTACTTCACGAGTATCAACCTCAACGACTTCCAAATTGATAATTTTCGGCGGAGCTGTTATTTTTATAACGTTATAATTATAAAAATTAATTCTCAAATTAGTCATAATTCTGAATCTCACCTGTGGATGGAGTTTCGAATTTGTGTGCCTGATAAGCAATCACAGTTTCCAATCCTAAATACTTTCTTATTGCATATATTTTTGCTATATATATCTCATCTCCGTTTAACTTTGGATGTACTTCATTTAAATCGAGGAAATTGTTTAAAGTTGTTATTATCATAATGAAATTTTTGATAGCGTTACTAATACCATATATTTCTATTCTGAATTTTATTGGTCCCGAAATGGTCGTACAATCATCAACTGAATTCCACAATAATTTCCAATCTTGTACACGCAATTGATTAATTATAACGGTTTCCGATGGTACCTCTATAATAAAGATAGTTAATATACATTTGCTATAAGTTTACATATGTAAGATATGTTCAGTTATATAAATTTAAAAGTATTAAGTATTAAGCTATTAAAAACAGACATATTCGTGCCTTTTCTGTTTCTTTTATGGTATTAAATATAAATATGTTAAATGATATGATATGAATATTCACCGGATTGTGCTATATCTAGAACTTTCTCTGTGATGCTGGAATATCGTGAATTATGTGCTATAATTTGCGCACAATAAGAAGTATATGGATGCAAATCAGGAATTGTAACCTTTGTATCTGTTGTTGATATATTAATGATATGATTAATCGGAGTAACTAGTTTTAAATCC